TTGGCCGGGTGTGATTTGCTGTAAACATCACAGATGGCGGAGCAGGCACCGGCGTCCTCAGCGATGGTAGCAGGGGCCCTGCAGTACTCACAAGACACACGAGTGGAGCCTGGGTGTTCCCTGCCGTTTTTAATTAAATTCCCACGGCTCTGGTAGGACAGGGTATCCAGCAGTAGAAAGCCTGGGAGGAGAGCAGCACCCAGCTGGTGCCTGACAGCGCCCCCCTGTGGCTACTACTTCTCCCCAGCAAACCCTAGGAGGCGCCCAGGAAACACACGGTGTGGCCAGGGGGCTCCCCGCTCATGGTGCCACCTGCTGCATGGGTCTGAGGTTCGGGGACACGGCAGAGGCACAGCCCGTGCTGGTCTTGACCTCGTCCACCGTCGAGCCCTCCCAGAGCTCCACCAGCGTCAGCCCTCTGTTCGGGTGCACGGCGAACACGGCCTTCTCGGTGATGACACGGTCCACGCAGCGCTTCCCAGTCACTGGCATGGTGCACTTGTCCAAGATTTTGGGGGTCTTTGCCTTCGTGCAGTGCTCCATGATGACCACCACTTTGGTGTTGGCGCTGGACACCAAATCCATGGCTCCGCCCATCCCTTTCACCTTCTTTCCGGGTATCATCCAGTTGGCCAGGTCTCCGCATATTTGGAAACCTGCATGGCGCCCAGCATGGTCAGCTGGATGTGGCCCCCGCGAATCATATAGCGAAGGAGTCATCGCTGGCGAAGAAAGAACCCCCAGGAATCACGGTGACCGTCTGCTTGCCCGCATTGATGACGTCCTCGTCCACCTGGTCTTTTAAGGGAAAGGGGCCCAAGCCCAGGATCCCGTTTTCACTGTGCAGATGAACCGTCATGTTGGGGCTGATGTAGTTGCTGGCCAGGAGAGGGATCCCTATGCCCAGGTTGGCGTACATGCCATCCTCGAATTCCAGAGCCGCCCGCTTGATGATCCGCGTCCTGACGTCGCCTGCGTCGCGGGCCTGCGCGCCTTCCCCTGTCCGCGTGGTTAAGCGCTCAGATTCTTTTCTCGTATTTGGGCCCCTTTATCACGCGACTGACATAAATGTTGGGCAGGTGGATGTCTTCGGGGCGGAAAGTGCCCACATCCACGATCTCCTCCACCTCCACCACCGAGACGTCGGCCGCCTTGCACATGGGCACGTTGAAGTTCCTGGCGCTCCCGCGAAAGACCACGTTGCCCGCGCGGTCGGCCCTCCAGCCCTTGACCAGGGCGAAGTCGGCGCGGATGGCGCGCTCCAGCAGGTAGTGCCGCCCGCCGAACTCCCGCACCTCCCGCGGCTGGCTCAGCGAGGCCATGTGGCCGTCCGGGTAGTAGGCGATGGGGGCGCCGCCCTCCTGCACCAGCGTGCCGTAGCCCGTGGGCGTGTAGAAGGCGGGCACCCCGGCGCCGCCCGCGCGGATGCGCTCGGCCAGGGTGCCCTGCGGGGTCATCTCCAGCTCCAGCTCCAGCTCGCCCGCCAGGTACTGCTGCTCGCACAGGGCGCTCTCCCCCAGGTAGGAGCAGACCACGCGGCGAAGCAGGACGCCGCCAGCAGGACGCCGAGGCCGAAGTCGTCCACGCCCGCATTGCTGCTGACCAAGGTCAGGTTCTTCACGCCCACGTCCCGCAGCGCTGCGATCAGGTTCTCCGGAATTCCGCAGAGCCCGAAGCCCCCGAGCATGACGGTCGCCTCGTTCGAGACGCCCTTCAGCGCCTCCACCGGGTCAGTGCAGAACTGGACCCGCTCAGGGGGCTTGGTGGAGAAGCGGCGCGCGCAGCCTAGGGACCGCGAGGATGTCGAGCACCCGGCGGGGACGCGGCGGCCCAGAGCCGAGGTCAGGAGCCTCAGCGCAGCCATCATCCCCAGCGGCTGGAGAGGCGGGGACTGGCTGCTCGCCCCGCCCCCGAGCGCCCCCGAGCGCCCCCCGTGCAGCCGCCGCGCGTCGCAGAGCCCGGAGGGCGGGCAGCGGCAGGACCCCCGCGTGGGGTCGGCTCTGCTGGCCTCGCGTGCCAGGGTCCCGCTCCCCTTCCTGCCTGGGGAGCCGGGGCGGTCACTCCAAACCTTGCGTGCTTCGGAGACTGAGTATCTAATGACCCGGCGCTGCAGGCGACATGGTGGGGAGGGCGACAGCCACCCTCACTGAGCAGCCACCTTGTGCCAGCGGAGCACCCGTTTCATCCCGCTGACACCTAGGAGAGTGAGGGTGGCCCTACAGTTCCTTCACCGCTGGAACTCACTGGAGGGGACAGGAATTGGGCTCCTCCCCGGAACTGGGTCTCTCAAAACCCTGAGCCCTGCTCAGCAGTAGAGCATTTGCCTAGCAATGGAGAGACCCTGGGTTCAGTCACTATTGTTGTAAAAAACATTAAACACCTGAGTCAGATCCTGTCATCTCCCACTGCTGTTAGATAAACTGCCCTAAAACCTCCAAACACCTTGTCCTGGTCACCCTAACTCACAGTGACCTCTGCCGACCCCTCCCAGTCTCCTCTCCTTCCAAGCCTCCCCCACCCCCACCTGCTCCTCCAGGTGGCCTCTTGCTGGACCTCAGGCAGCCAGTCTTGTGCCACCTTGGCCCTTCTACCCCCACTGCCTGGTACAAAGGAAGCTCTCCCCAAATACTCGAGTGCCGGTGAGCAAACCTCACCTACAGATGAGGAAACTGAGGCGTAGAAAGGTCAGTAACATGCTGAGGTCACCTCAGGACATCAGAGAGCCACCAGCACTCCCCACTCAGAGCCAGTGGTCCAGTTGGCCCCCTCCCCTCCCCCTTCCCACCAGACCCACTGGGTGCCAAGGCTGCCCTGCTCCTGGGGAGGAAGCTTTGACTCCCCCTCCGCAGCTCACAGGCTCAGCAGGGGGACAGGAGGGACAGCAGCCCTGGCTGGGAGCCTCCTGCTGCCCAGGACCTCACTCTCCACCCCCCGAGTCCTCACAGTGGACACAGCCGGGATGGGACAGGCTCCCCAGTGCTGGGGCCTCTCATGGAACCACCTGCTGGAGCCTGGGCACGAACCCCCAGCCGAGCCCCCGAGTCTCACCGTCCAAGGTTTGCACATAGAGGCGGAGACCCAGGTCCTTGTTACGGTTCAACAACCAGCGGTCACTGGCTGCCGTGACGTCCAGCACCAGCCAGCCCTCGTCTCCTGCTCTGAGGGTCTGAAGATCCAAAAAGAACAAGTCAGACTCCCTGTGGACACGAAAGAACAATTAACTGAGGGTGGTGGGCCAGCCCCGCTGCCTTTGGGACCATTGCTGGAGCAGCCACCCCGCCTTGGCTCTGGGCTGGGCTCCTTCCCTGCCTTCTGTCACTCATCCTCCACCCCAAACCATGTTTCTGTGCCCATGAGGAGGTGGGGAGACTGAGGCACAGTGGCTCAGGGACCCGTCCAAAGCCCCACAGCCAGGATGGCAAGGCAGGGTGTTCAGGCCCAGCCTCTTTCCAATCTGAGGCTGCTCTCCCAGAAGTACCCCTTTCCTCCTCTGGGAAATGCTCCCCAACCTGGGGCTGAGCAGGACACACTGACTGAGCCTTGACCAGGAGACAGAGGATGGGCCCAGGCCGAGGGACGGCACCTGTTGGAGTGCTCCTGGACCACCTCGAACATGCTGATGTGGAGAGTCGTGTTGAGCGAGTGGGTGCTGGGCACCTTATAAATCCGGAACTCAGCAGCTGTGACTGCCTCCCCAGCCGGGATCTGCATCAGATCAAAGCGGAACTCCTTCCAGTGAGGCTCCTGGTGACCCAGGGCATGGTCACGTTCCACTGGAAGACAAATCGGGAGACAGGCAGTCTAGAGCAGCTGGGATGGCTTGGACTCTGGAGTGGGAATCCAGGCAGCTTGGCCAGCTCTTCTGCAGCCTGTTTCAGGCTCTGCCCCAAGCATAGACAGGGCTCCACCAGGTCCACCAGGTTGGTGAGGAGCTCTGGCAAATGCCCAACAGGCCCGTGCCCCAAACCCCACTTAAAACCCCCCACTGGGCACCCTGCTGGCCCTAGGACCCACAGAGGAGACTGTGGACAGGCCCTGCTGTGGGAGCGCCGGGCTCAAGGGGAGGCAGACATCAGACCCAAGGCAGAAGGCCCTGGCCTGCTGGGGTGGGGGTCCAGGGGGGACAAACAAGTGGCTGTATTTCAGTGGGACAGGGGCCACCCCAGGCTCACCCTGTTCCTGGGTGGGAAGTAGGGGAGCAGAGAGCTCTGAGCTGACAGCTGAGCCCGGCCTGAGGGCTGAGTGAGAATCTGCCTCGGTGTCCAGGGAGAGGACCCTGCAGAGGACAGGCCAGCAGAGCAAGGCCGAGGGCAGAGGGGCCTGAGTGCAAGGAAGGAGATCCACGGCCAGAAGCCGTAAGTTCCCTTAGAGGATATGGGGAAGGAGGCAGGAGGGTGGAGGAGGGAAGAAGAAACCCGGGGGTAGGACAAGAAGCTCCTGGGGAGGCCCAGTCAAGGGCTGGGGAAGCTGGAGGGTCCCAGGAATGGCAGGACCCGAGCAGGCTTCTTGGGGGAGGTGATTTCTGAACTGGCCCTGAAGGATGGGCAGGCGCCTTGGCAGGCGGAGGGCCTGGTGTGCACAGGGGAGGGCCTGGGAGCTCCCCCAGTCCTGCGGTGTGGTGGCATCAGTGGGTCTGGCCAGGCCTGCCTGTGAGGTGGAACCCTGGGCTGGGGACACAGCTGTGCCTCTGGCCAGGGGGGAGCAGCGTAATCTGTGGGGACACTGGAGGACCCCGTGGAGGCAGCGGTGAGGACTGAGGTGGGGCTCACTGCCAGGGGCGGCCTCTCAGTCTGGGCAAAGGCCGACATTGTGGCATGAATCCCACATTTGCCCAGCTGCACGGAAATGCCCAGGCTGATATATTTAGGGCAGTCTCCCTTTAGCCTCT